TACGTCAAAAATAGAATGGAAGTATTCTGAAATTCTTTTAAAGTCCGAATTTAAAGTTTGAATTTCGCTTACTCACTTCTTCCAATAAATACATAAAATCCGCAATCTAGTTATGAGTCGCAGAATTTTATGTACTTAGTATGTACTTAAATTATGCTCATATTTACGCCCACATTTTTTGAGTTACATATAATTAAATTCAATTTTTATTTCAATTTTTAATTATGAGTTCCGCGAGGTGCAGCGTCCCTTTTGGCCACATTTGAAAGCCCTAAAAAACAAAATGGCTACTAATAGGTGTTATTGGAGTAATTTAAAAAATGGTTGCAATTATTGACGCGCTTGCAAAGGTGTACGAGCTCCGTTTAAATTGCCAAGCTTTCAGAGATCCAATATTTTGAGAGAAGTAAATATTCAAGATAAAGCTCAAGTTGTCAATTTATTGATTGCCAATTTATTTATTTTCTCTATTAAAGTTCGCCTTCATTAAAAAACCGCAGTAATACCTACATTTACCTTATTTCGCAGCATTTGAATCATATTTTGTGTCGTTGTCAATACGGGACACCCTGTACAATGTCAAAGTTATTTCAAAATATCAAATAGTTAAATATTAATATATGAGAATTATTAATATATGAAATATTAATATATGAGAATTATTAATATATGAAATATTAATATATGAGAATTATTAATATATGAAATATTAATATATGAAATATTAATATATGAGAATTATTAATATATGAAATATTAATATATGAGAATTATTAATATATGAAATATTAATATATGAAATATTAATATATGAGAATTATTAATATATGAAATATTAATATATGAGAATTATTAATATATGAAATATTAATATATGAGAATTATTAATATATGAAATATTAATATATGAAATATTAATATATGAAATATTAATATATGAGAATTATTAATATATGAAATATTAATATATGAGAATTATTAATATATGAAATATTAATATATGAGAATTATTAATATATGAAATATTAATATATGAGAATTATTAATATATGAAATATTAATATATGAAATATTAATATATGAGAATTATTAATATATGAAATATTAATATATGAGAATTATTAATATATGAAATATTAATATATGAAATATTAATATATGAGAATTATTAATATATGAAATATTAATATATGAGAATTATTAATATATGAAATATTAATATATGAAATATTAATATATGAGAATTATTAATATATGAAATATTAATATATGAGAATTATTAATATATGAAATATTAATATATGAAATATTAATATATGAGAATTATTAATATATATGAAATATTAATATATTTCAGTGAGAAGCTATTTTTTACCGCGTTTTCGGTGCGAATGGTCCACCGCGCAAGGCCAGGCGTCGCGTCGCTTCGTCGTCGAGGGTCGCGAGCGGAAATTTCACGCGGCTTAAATTTTCATGGCGACGCCTCTCGCGTGTCGCCATTAGACCGGCAGAGGTCTGTTTGTTACGCATGAAACTTTCAAATTGCGTTTCTTCCCGCGGGCCCCGGGAACGTCGCGCGTTTCGTAAAATTTACGAACGGCGCGTTCGGACGGACCGTTTACCTTCTCGCGGGTAAAATCCGCGCGCCGGAACCGGCAGTCGGTACTTTCGCGATTAACTCCTCCGCAGTCTCCGACCAGCTGTCCCGTTAACTGACCCTTTTTATTCCGACGCTCTTCCACAATCTCGGCGTCTCTGGTAATTTAATTAACATCTTGTTAGCGGGTCTTATAACAAAATCCGGGGAAAAAAATTCAACGAAGAGCATGATTTTTTTTTATAGAATTTAATAAGCCCGTGGTTTGTTTCGTTTACTAAAATTGTTGCGGCGGACGATGTTTGTTTCGCGCTATTCTCCTCAAATTCTTGGGTTTACGGTTCAGATTTTATGTTTGTATAAACGTCTGCTGTATGTTCGCGGTTTTATCTAGTGCAGTTTTGTTTGGATCGATTGTTTGTACGGCGAGCCTGCGCCAGCATCGATTTTCATGTCATTGTTTATGCTTATATCGGCTGTAATGTTAATTGCGGAACAAGTGAACTAATGTTTCCATGTCGTTTCACCTGATCGCTATTTTTGTCTAGCGAACTCTAGCTGTTCTAACATCTTAAAAACTTTTCAGCTCGTCTGGTTCAATTTGAAAACAGTCCGCGACTGTGCGTACAGTGGCACCAAAAAGTATTCGTACACTTTTAAAACGGTACAACTTTTTTAAAACTCGAATAAATCACTGGAATTTTTGGAGATATTAGTTTACTGTATTATAACTAAAATACTTTTACTCTTAATATTGCAGTTACTTGGAATGACGAAGAAGATAAGAAACTCTCGGTTTGTAACTGTTTTATCTGGACCTAGAACGAAAATTTAAATAATGCGTTTTTTAGATCTCTGTGAATTTGAAATTTCTTCTTACAGTTTTTGGTTGAAAGTCGTGGAAAATTGCGATTCAAATATGAATGCATTTCTTCTTTTAATAATTTTAATAAATTGAGAATAATGAAACAAAATTCCGCAAATTTTTTTATACATACATATATATATATATAATATAAATATTATATAATATTATTATATAAAATATATAAATAATAATAATAAATATATATATATATAAATATAATAATAATATAATAATAAATAATAAATATAAATAATATAAGAATAAATAATAAATATAAATAATAATAAATATATAAATAAATATATAAATATATAAAATATATAAAATAGACGTCTTTAAGACGTCTAGAACAAGACATCGTTTAAATGTCTGCAGGACGCCTTAAAGACATCCATTTTATGTCAATTTCAGGTCTGAACGTCGCACGCCCTAAAATGGACGTCGTTTAGACGTTTACTGGACGCCTCAAAGACGTCAGGACGTTTCTATGCCGTTCGTAGACCGTCTGCAAGCCGTTCATAGGACATTCGGGACATCTTAAAGACGTCTTTGTACTATTTGGGAGAGACCTACCCAACGCACAATGCTTAAATTTTTGTCACTAATGTTGGAATAAACACACTCTCAGTAATCCTTTACTAAAATATTAATAAATTAGAGTATTATTAGTTATCAACGATACTGATCGCACACGAGACGGTACCAATTACACTTCATCATTCGTCCTTAGATAGTTACCGAACATAAACATAAACATAATATCAATAAACGAAACAGATAAAAATATCAAAAAACTTATGTAAACTAGTCCCTTTAACATTCGAAACAAATTCGTGTCATTCAGTCCAGTTTGGAAGAAGTTATACCGTTTTTAAAAGTGTAGGAATACTGTTTGGAGCCACTGTACATTTCAACGTTTCTATAGTGAACCTGTATCCGCACATCCTGTAAACAGGGTTGCAGCAATGGCTGGAAGAACTGTGGACAATTGTAAAAGAATGAGTGTAACAAACGCGACCCTTCCTCTTTATAGTTGCATCGTCACCTCTGTCGACGTTCTTACAGAGAGTCACGGGTTCTGCTTCGTCGCGTCCCTTGCGAAGTGTCGATAAAATTGAGTCGTCAACCGGTAAAACAGTGGACTTGGTCAGTGAATTACGAAACAGCGTACAAAAACAGTGAAATCGGACACTTTTCCGCAACGATTTGTCGCGAATAAGGTAAACGTGATAAACAAATAACCTTGACATAACCTTGACAACGTAATGAACTCTGAGCTATTTATTTAATAGCTATTAAATAGCTACTAGATATGAATAATACGAATAAAATAGTAAAAAAGTAATACGAACAAAATAGTAAAAAAGTAATACGAATAAAATAGTAAAAAAATAATACGAATAAAATAGTAAAAAAAGAATACAAATAAAATAGTAAAGTTTCATCGTGTACCTAATATGGAACACTATTTTCGTATCATGTCCCCATGTTTCATATTCAATGCCCCTATTTTCGAGCGCCCATTTGACATGCCCGCTCCAAATCAGGGACATTGAATATGAAACACGGATGGCAACTGTTTCATAAATCTGTACAATGAAAAAATTAAAGTGCACAATATGGAACAGTATATTCTCTTAGAGCATATACATGGAGGCAGCAGTGGAACCTGTCTCATTTTAAACCAGGATCGAACAAAGGAGTCTCAAGACCCTGTACCAATTCATAACAATTTTTCTATTAATTTTCTTCCCAAATATAATTTCATTTATTTATTATTACTTATTTTAATGTGATACGGAGAAGGTCATTTTAATAATGTATATTACAGCATTAATTACTTCATTTGTTTCATTTTGCTGATAAAGATATTTATTATTGATTCGAATTCTTATAGTCTAATAGTATAAAATAGCATAAAATAGTTTAAAATCTATAGTCTAATAAGTCTATAGTCTAATAAAACAATGAATGCATTATTTGGGAAAATAATTAGTGAAAACAATAAATACATTATTTCTCGATTATCATTTCCTTCTTAGAACCGATGATCCCTATCAATTTTAATTGAATTGTATTTGTTTCGTCATTCCAAGTAACAGCAAAATTAAAAAAAGAAGTATTTTCGTAATTGTACAGTAAACCGGTCCGCCTAACATTAAAAAGAAATCATTTAGTCCACTCTTAAAAATGTTATACCGTTTTCCAAATGGTCTCGAGTATATAGCCGCCACTCACTGTACATGCTCTAAGCACGTATTCGAACAAACATTTATTTTTACAGCTGACCGTTGCGTAACAGTATTCGCGCGAGTGAATTCATCAAGAAGAATGTTCGAAAATGCGGGAATAATATTTACATCAACATTCGCGTGCTCCATCTAGTTGCCATTCGATTATCAGCGCCGCTGTTTCAAGAAACGGTCACGATTCCAGCGGTGTTCCAAAACGGGTGCATACCTCTGCCTTACTGTCAACTCGAAGGCTCCATGTGAAACCGCGCGGTGTCCCGAGTCCTCGGATGCTGGATGAAAGATGGAAGGTGATCGGCCGACGTATTCGTCGTCGGGCAGAAACTACCAGCGTGGAAGTTATCGCAGCAGAGGCGGAAGAAGAAGAAAACGAAGGCGGAAGCCGTGGGGCGAGAGGATCGCCGACTGGACCAGGGCTCTGATAGCCTTCCTCTTCAGCAACGTCGGGATAGTGTGTCTGGTGGTCGGATATACTATAGCCGGCGCTTTCCTCTTCACCCACATCGAGGGCAGGAACAGCATGGACATCGCCGGCGATGTGATCAGGCTGAGAAACATGACAGCTGCGAACCTCTGGGAGCTTACTTCCAAGGTGACGAGTTTCTTCTTTCACGAAGCTTCTCCTTCTTGCAGCGTTTCCACCGCGACCCAACTGAACCGGTCGCTCGATGCTGACCGTTTAATTATTGACTGCTGCGATCCCCTTCCGCTGGATTAACCCTCGCTGACTTTTCCAACTTGGGGCAAGCGTATCAATTACTGTGCCCATTAAACCGACGTCCAGAGTTTTCGACGAATTAAGTAGCTTCTTTCATGTACGTCGCGATTCTTGGAGCGTTTCAATTATACAGAGTGGGGTGAAAAGTCGTGGTACAACCATGGTGGAATCGTGGCACAGCCAAGGGGTGATTCTGCGTGCAAAAATAAGTCGGAAAGAAAGGGTAACATTTTTTTTATCTAATGCTCTGTTTTTGAGACAAAATAGGTTGAAAAATATTACTATTGGATAGTGGCGCGTCTGATCATCACATACCAATTCTACTTCTTATACTACGAGCCATACGAACTTGACGGATTTTTAAACTTATTTTTCTCGAAATGAAAATGTATTACTCCTTTTTTTCTATTTATTTCTCGATGCAGAATCATCCCCTGGCAGGTACCATGATTTTTCATCCCTTGTGTATGTTGACGACTCTTATAAAAGTATGGACTTTTTCATAATTGAAATATGTAAACGACACGAAATATTTAAGAAAATTATATATATATAATTTTCTTAAATACTGTTAATACTTTTTTTAATATTTTATTAAATACTGTTACTGAGTCCTTAGAAAGATGGAAAATTAATTTCTGTGTGTCAGTTTCTGTACACTAATCTAGTTACTGTGTGTCAATTTCTGCAGATTGACCTAGTTACTGTGTGTCAATTTCTGTAGATTGATCTAGTTACTGTGTGTCAATTTTTGTTCACTGCTGTAATCACACGCTATATGTTAATTTTTGTGCACTGATCTAGTTTGCATATGTCAATTTCTGTGCACTGATCTAGTTACTGTGTGACGATCTCTGTACACTGATCTAATCACTGTGATCAGTCCTAGTTAAATAATCTTATAACAAAAATCTGAAAACATGAAATATCTCGTATATTGCATTTTTTAGCTAAAAATTTGATCTGTAATTTTCATAACTGAATCATAACTTTAACTTTTTAGTACCTATAAAATGCGGAAACTAATATTTCAAATTTCTGATATAAGGTTTGATGCGTTTTCGTTTTCATCTTGTTTAAAAAACTGAAGAAACATAGCGCAAATTTAGATGAAAAAAATAAATGAATGCTTTTTAAAATAAACGATGCTTTTTAAAATAAAAAAATACACTATTATGTTCGTAAAACTCGTTCAAATTACAGAAAAACAATAATATAATCGACTTCTTAGATTATATTCTCAATTTAAATATTTTCAATCTTTTTAAAATCGGTTTTGCAATCACAAAGTCTGAAAAATTCTGACATGTGTATTTAAGAGGATAGAAACCTCATGATTTTGTTCATAATTTTCTGTTGAAAAGAATAGGAGAAATGGAGCTAAAACTGTACATCGCATTCAATCCTGTAACTGCCTCAATAGTACAGATACCAAGGTGTCACTTGGGGGAAAAAGTTTTCTTTGGAGAAACTATCGATTGATGCATATCAAGTTCAATTTGACTTAGGGCACTTTTACCAAGCTTATTCGGTTAAAATAACCTTTACATATTGTTTTTACAGGGTGTCCCAAAATTATTGTACAAGTAGAAAATGAGGGGTTCCTGAGGTCATTTGAAGTAATTTTTTCCTTAGCGAAAATGCAATCCGTGGCTTCGTTTACGAGTTATTAACGAAAAACATGGACCAATTGAAGAGCGAGCGCGGCCGGCGCTCCGCCCTTGCGACCAATGCTGCGTCGCGCTGGCCGTCTGACACAGCGGTAGAAGTCGCAAGGGTGGGGTGTCAGCTGTATGCGATCTCTCATTGGTCGCTGTTTTTCGTTAATAACTCGGAAACGAAGCCGCGGATTGCATTTTCGCTAAGGGAAAAGTTGCTTCAAATGACCTCGGGAATCCCTCACTTCCCGCTTTACAATAATTTTGGGACATCCTGTATAATTCTGTCCTGTAACTGGATTCAGTTATAAACACGTACTACGTCTCTAACCTTATTTTTTCGGTCTTTGAAATGTGTGCACGATACACGCGATTTTCTTTCCTTTTCTCAATATCATAAGTTCTGATACACATTACAATAAATTACGTTAAATACTTGTGCATTATAAATAAAAAAGAAAGCTATTCGATTTGTCGAAAACTTCGAACATCGCATCAATGGGCACAGTAATCGACGCACTTGCCCGACCACCGTTTGCTTCATGATATTTTTTATGTTTTTTGCCACTTCGAATAATCTTTTCCGATGAAACGATATTTATTTAGGCGGAAGTTGAACGGAACCGGACGCGATTGAATTCCGATAAAACCAGAAAAAAGATTGCGGAGCGTCCACATTAATTACGCGCCGCGATAGAATTTCGCTGGTTCATTTCTGGCGGAGGTACCTGAATAAAATTTACATTTAATAGATTTCGTTCGGAAGTCCCCGTAACGAGTTTCGGCTCGAAAGTCATGAAGCAGCGAGGGGGTCGGAATTGAAGTTCCGCGAGTCTAATCGCGACTAGGATGGCGGCCATTAACGTTCATTCGAATCTTTACACAGGAGAACGTGTTCTCCGAGCGAATATGGAAGACGAAAGTCCGAGCAATCCTCGAGAACTATCAGAGGAAAATGGTCACGGCCATAAAGAACGGCTACGACGGAGCAGATGAGAACAAGAGATGGAGCTTTGCCGGGGCCTTCCTCTATTCCCTCACAGTAATCACTACGATCGGTGAGTTTGCCTTCGCTCTGTTCATTTCGAGCCATGGATCACTCGCGACGAGTCCCTCTCTTTTTCTCTCCTCTCGTTCTCTCTCTCTCTCTTTCTCTCTCCTCTCATTCTCTCTCTCTTTCCTCTCATTCTCTTTCTTTCCCTCTCCTCTCATTCTCTTTCTCTCTCTCTCCTCTCATTCTCTCTCTCTTTCTCTCTCCTCTCATTCTCTCTCTCTTTCCTCTCATTCTCTTTCTTTCCCTCTCCTCTCATTCTCTTTCTCTCTCTCTCCTCTCATTCTCTCTCTCTTTCTCTCTCCTCTCATTCTCTCTCTCTTTCCTCTCATTCTCTTTCTCTCTCCCCTCTCATTCTCTCTCTCTCTCTCCTTTCATTCTCTTTCTCTCTCTCTCTCCTCTCATTCTCTCTGTCTTTCTACTCTCTCTCTCCCTCTCTCTCTCTCTCTGGCGTGCGCGCGATCCCTTTCGGCGTTACCTCGTCGTCGAACATATCCAGGGAAGAAAATTAGAATCAATGTTTCAAACGTTACGGAGTCGGTCCGAGAGAATTAGGGGCGTTCGGGAACTTATGAGGTCGGAGAGACAGATATTTTTCTTGGACCGAGAGTAGGGGGGGTGGAGATGAGTTAGTTGCGATTTTATATGATTTAAGTTTCCATTAAAAATCCATTATAATTCAATTTTTTATTCAAATTCTTACAACAATTTACTCTAATCGACGTTTTTATTGAAAATCTATTAGATTTAAATTTGTAACGTAAATCCATTATATTAGTTAAATTTTATATTGGAAATTTACTAAATCGTGATCT